GTGGGTCAGGCAGACCAGCCAGGGCAGGCGTCTCCAGGAGAATCGGCAGCAGCATGCGGTCTTGCCCTCTGGTCTCTGCGCCGCTGGCAGCAGTCCTCAGCTGGTCGTTCCCACCCACAGCCACGCTGACCCAGTGCCGCTGGGAGTCCGCACCTGAGCTGGCCAGTAGTTAGTATGCCATGCCAGGCGCAGGGAATTTCACAAAGCCTGATCAGACTTGGCCATAGAACAAATCTCGGCGTTTCAGAAGCCTGAAGTTACACCCAGTCTGTTCTCTAATCACAACGCAGATAAACTAGAAATTGTTAATTAATGATGGGCATATTAACAGAAAAGACTGAAAAGCTAGTTGTCAAGTTAAGAAATTAGAAAACAACATAGTATGCTTGCTTTTCCAATTTGACTTTATTTTATGCAACAGATATTAGCTTATGTAAAAGCTGCTAACACAAATGTTTCCCTAACTTGATAACTCCTCCATAAGGAGGCAGAAACCCAAGTTCAATTTTACAATAGAAGAAAGAAGAAGTAAAAAGCAGGCATTACTGAGCTAGAAAAAAGCAAGAAAGCTGAGGTGTCTTGCTGCGCAGTCCAGGCTGATTGTAAACTCTTCCTACTCCAGGCTGTCCTTGACCTTGAAGTCCTGCCTCAGCCTCCAGGGTCCTTCAGGTATGAGCGCATGCGTGTGTGTACCAGCATGCTGTGCTAGAATTTTGCTTTTTGAAGAAAAATGAATAAAATCAGGAAACTTGAGACTGATCAAGAGGAAAGAGAAAGCCCAAATATGTATCAGGAATGATGAGTCTGAGTATAAACTTTAATGTCAGTGCATCATGAGAATGTTGTGAACAAAGTTGATGATAGAAATACTTAATTTGTCAAAACATAAAAAAGAATTAGCGACCTGGAGCTCGGAGTGTATGCCTGCTATGTGCAAGGCCATGGGTTTAGTTTCTAGCACCAACATAAGTACACTGTAATTATTAAAGACAGTGGGTCTATGATAAAAATGGCTCCAAGGAAACTCTAGTTGAGGTGGTTTTATAAATGTAATCTAAATGTTAAAGAACAATCCAGCTGCATATGCTAGTGCTTGCCTGTAATTTCAGAACGCTGGGAGGCTGAGGCAGGACGATCACAAGTTCTAAACCAGACTAGCCAGCGTTAGTCACTTAGAGAGATCCTGAGTAAAAGTAAGAAAAAACAGCGCAAGGTCGTGAGTTTGGTTCCTGGTACCGGAGAAAAACCAAAAAAAAAAAAAAAAGTAAGAAAAAACAATGCTAGGGTTGTAGTTCAGTGTTGTTAAGGCCCTTGGTTCAACCCCTAGTTCCATAAAAACAAAAACCACTGAAACAATTGCAGTTACCAAGTTAGGGAAACATTTGTGTTTGCAGTTTTTACATAACCTAGTACCTACTGCATTTTAATTACCAGAATTCCAAAAACTGTTGATGCTACAAAGGTTGGTTTTTATACTGAAGTTTTTATTTCTTTATTCACAGACGCTCCTTTGCTTTTCTCACTGTGTAGCCCACGCTGGCCTCAAACTTACTGCAGTCGTGCCTCAGCCTCCTCCTGAGTGCTGGCATTACAGGCCTGTGCTGCCACGCCCAGCTGTCCTGTGGCTGTATCTTGAATGTCAGATCTTTTGAATACTTTACAGATATGTGAAGTATTTGCTACACGTTGATAAAGAAAATACGTGTCCCCTGGAGGTTTACATGGCACATAGGAGACGTGTACATAGAAGGTACAGTTTAGAGTGAAATACTGCAAGAAGTACGGAGGGCATTGGGGTCAGAACTGAGGGTCATCTGATTGCCTCGATCAAGGATTTGCCCAAGGGGTGGCATTTAACTTGAGCCTGAAGAGGAAAGCATTGTGTCAGGAAGGTGAAGACAGTAGGCGGGGTTAGAGTATGTGTAAAAGCTGGGCTTCTTGCTTGTTGGAGAATTTATTATATATTTAGTTTAAATGAAAGAGGAGGCAAAGAAAATGGAAGAAAAGAACTTACTTTTGAACTTCTTACACCATGTTAAAGATGAAAAGTGGAGGACCTGTTTTTTATATTTCAAGTGGAAGTGTAATATCATCCAGTTTTTGTTGTAAAATTATTGCGGTAGAGCTTTGGAGAGGAGATTGGAGGCCGGAAGACCCTTACGGGTGCTGTAGGTAACCCAGTGGGATGGTGAGAGCTTCAGCTTGAGGAGCCCACGGCCCTGCATGTGGAGCGACAGTGCTGTGGAGACATTTGCTTTTGGGCACAGTAAACTTTTGTTTCTGGCTCTGATTTGTGCATAAATTTTATTTAACTCTTTTGATTATGTTTTTGTGTGGTAAATTGTCGTGGAATGTGAATGCAAACTTAGGAAGTTTAGGTTGTTTTGTAGGGGAGGTGGTTGGATGTTTTGAGACAGGTCTCACTGTGTAGTCTAGGTTGGCCTTCAATGGACTGCGTAGCCCAGGCTGGCCTCACCTCATGATCCTTCTGCCTGAGCCTCCCAAGGGCTGGCCTTGCAGGCCAGTGCCACCACTCCTGGAGTAGTTCAGTGTTTTGTAAGGAGGAGGAAGACCTCCTTCTAGACCAGTCAGATTGGGAATTGATACTTACCTACATTGGTATGTTTTCTCTTACTTTGTATGACGCCGAAGGTCTTGAAGGTGTAGAGCACTTTACTAAGCTGATCCACACAGGAGGTTCCGAATTTGTTCTGAGTGGGTGATTGTGTGTGTGGATGTATGTATGTATTTTTGTATTTAGAGACAAGAACTCACTGTGCAGTTCAGGCTGGCCTTGAGCTCACTTGTAGCCTAGGCTGGCCTCAAGTTCACAGCCATCCACCTGCCTCAGCCTCCCAGGAGCTGGGATTACAGGGTTCCACCACCGTGCCTGGTGGATGATTGTATTTAAAATTGTTCATAAGTGTATTGTTCACTTAAATGTTTGAATGGAACACGTTAGTAGTAGAAAATCTGCTTTATTGAGTCCTTGATTTAAAAACGTCAACCGAGAGTCAGTCCCCAACCTTACAGTTCTTTGAAAAGGGAGACAGAAAGGTTACCGGCATGGAGTTTCTTCAGTGTCTTCTGGAAGTAGGCACTTGGTTTCAGCATAAGCACAGAGGGAAGATGAGTTGCCTGGCTTTACATATCAAAACCCCTCAATGAAAATGTTTTCTTCACTGCATACTCCGTGCTAAGCTAGTAGTCAACAGTGCTTTTCTAAAACAAAAGAATACTTTTTTCATTTACCTTGCATTCTTGTTCTTACCCAGATCCATTTTGCGGACATTATGTCATAGCATTCTGAGGAAATACCTGAAGTTTAATAAAAGACTTAAAATTTTGGGAGAATTGAAGTTTGTCTTTTTAAACCATAGCGTAAGCCAATAGTTAGGCAACTATTTGGACACATTTCTTAAATAATACTGAGCAGTTTTTCTCTTTTCTGGAGACATTTTTCAGTGCACAGTTATTAACAATTTGTATTATTGTGGTTTCCATATCTCACCTCGGAAGAGTTCTGAGGTGTGACAACTCCAAGTCCGATGCAGGCCGAGTGATTTGTGGGAATTTGAACTTCTGATTCATAGGTTTGAAAAATACAATGTGAATTATACCGCTAAACCCTTTTTAATTTCTGTCCCTAAGAGTTAAAATCGAGGTCTACTATAATTTTTTTTTAACCCTGACCTCTTGTTTTTACACGGAGCGCACTCGTTTGTGTGCTTTCTGAGTGTTACTGAGAACGGCGTGGTGCAGAGCTTGCCACCACGTCTCCCTTCGCTGTGCCTTTAGGAGAGCGCGGGCGTCACTGCGCACAGTGGCTCCAGTGTGCTGGAGGCTGAGGCGGGGGATTGCAGGCTTGCGGCCGGCCTGGGCAATGTAAGTGAGACCCTTTCGGAAAATGAGAAGGGCTAGGTGTAGCTCCGGGGCAGAGCACGCCAGCTTCATCCCCAGGACCACTGGCTGGCAGGGGTGCTCCTCGCCTTGGAAGGGTTTGTCAGGGTTAGGTACTAGGGAGGTCTCACGTGTCCTTAGGAAGGGTGCTTCAGCCTCTTGCACCGTGTGTGCGACCCCTTCGTAACATTCAGCTTATCAGTCCGTGAAGCTGCTCATGTCTGAATTAGTATACATTGTATTCAACCAAGGTATTTTCGGGTATTACTGTTTTCTTCCCTTTTTATGTGATCTCGGCTTTGTAGGCTGTCGGGGCCTCTCGGGCGTCGTTTCAGAGCTGTTCTGTGTCCCCGACTCCTCCGCGGGCTCCCTGCTGTCCATCGTCCTTTGCTGTCTTTGTGTGCAGTGTCCACTGTCTGCCTACACACTGCCCGTTCACATGGCGCTTGGTCCTGTGTTGTTTTCCTTTTCCTTCCCTTCCCTGTCATAGTCTAGATTCCTTACTGGTAGTTTCTGTTCCTCCACGCATGTCATTTTTCTTTTTCTTTCTTTCTTTTTTTTTTTTTTTTGAGACGGGTCTCTCTGTGTAGCCCAGACTGGCCTTGAATTAACAGGGATCCTCTTGCTTCAGCCTCTGAGTGTTGGGATAACACTTCTAATTGATTCTTTAAGGCGTATATCAGTGCGGTGCATTCTTTTCTATTTCCTTCTGCCTAGGCAAAGTTAGGGGTCTGTCCTGTGTTCTGTTGTCATGCTGTGCCTCTTCTAATAAATTTTTATTTCCATGTCAGTCTTGAAGAATTCTAAACAGCTTGAGCACTGGGATCACATCTTAATGATTACCATACGGAATGGGTAGTAGATACTGAAATTGTTTGCAAAAGGAGCAAAGAATGATGTGATAAATTAGCAGTCAGGAGCATCTGAAGTCTGTTTGGAAAAGATGTCAAGGTGGAAAATGTGTGTCCTCCTGGGATCTTGGGAAGGGCTTTCCTGACTCTGGATTTGCCAGTGAGGTTTCTGAGGGTACTGAAACCACTGTGAAGTAAACATTTTTATGTTGTTACAATTTCTAATTTAATTTTTGTTTTTAATTTTAGGAAACACTCCTTTACATCTTGCTGTGATGTTAGGAAATAAAGGTTAGTACTTTCTTTTTTATGTTTAACTTCATGCTTGTTTAGTCAGTTTAAAATTTCTAAGATCCCTTTTGTTAACCTGTCTGTAATTGAGCATGGGTTATAGTATATTAAAGTTAGTATTTTCTCATTTTCTTTTTTTATCTTTTTTGAGACAAGTCTCTCTATGCAGTTCAGGGTGGCCTTGAGCTCACTTTATAGCCCAGGCTGGTCTGGAGCTTGCAGTGATCCTCCTGCCTCAGCCTCCCAAGTGCTGGGTTTCATTTTCCACAGCCTATTTTTTTTTAAAGAGAAAAGATCTTGTACTAACCTTCATGACATTTAAAATGTTTTTTCCCTTAGTTGGTTATTTTATCAAACATATTTATAATTTTAGAAAGCTTATATCCAAATATTAATTTTCATTAACTGCATTATAGTACTTTCGATATGAGAAGAATTTTGTAAGAAATTTAAATTTAAAAATTTTAGCATTTGGTATGTCTCAACTCATTAGTTGAGTCTTTAGTATTACAAATAGATTGTAAAAAACGTGATGCTTGTATATTCTTTTAAAAAATCCTACTCATAGGTAGGTGATTTAAATGATCTACTTTTGAGCTGTGTGTGGTGGCACCTGCCTATCATCCCAGCACTTAGGAGGAAGCTGAGGCAGGAGGATTATAGGGCATTCGAGGACAGCTTGCGTTACTTAGTGAGTTTGAGGCCAGTCTGAACTACATAGCAAGACCCTGTCTGAAAAAAAGAAAGAAATCTGCTTTTGTGTGTCATTCCTATATGTAATGCAATTTCAGTTACCAGGATTCACAATTATTCTGAAAAGTGAGAATTTCAGATAGATAATTGAAAGCTTTCTGAGTGCTAGATTTTTAAATTTCCTATCTTTGGTAAGATTCTTTTAAAAAACTCAGTCCTGTATTTTTAAACAGGCCAATGAATTTAACATTTTTCTTTCTAATGATCTGAAAGTATCGTTATGAACATCTCTTACTGTCATATGGCATAGTAATTTCTTTTTTTCCCCCATTTTTTCTGTCTATTTTGCTTATCCCTTTTCCTTCCTCCTCCCTCTCCTTTGTTTGCCTTCTCATTTGAACATTTTCTTCCCATTTCCTAATATCTGCTATATATTTTGGTCCTTATTTGACAGTTTGTCACATCAGAGAAGCCATGCAATATTTACACATGTGTCTGATTTATTTCACTTAAGAGAATGGTCTCAAGGTGCATCCATTTAGCTGTAAATGTCTCAAGCTTATCCTTTATGGCAGAGTGTAGTACTCCATTGTATTTTTAAAAAAAAAAAAAAACCCATCTTCTTTATCCATTCATCTGTTGATGGGCATTTGGGCAGTTTCCAAGATTTGGCTATTACAAATTGTGCTGCTATAAGCATGGTCAGGATTGTATTAAGTCTGTCTAACAATTTGGGAGTATGGCCATTTTCACTATATTGGTTCTTCCTACCCAAGAACAAGGGATAGCTTTCCATTTTCTGATACCCTCTTTGATCTTTTTTGGAGTATTATAGTTTTCAGTATAAAGGTTTTTTACTTTGTTAAATTGATTCCTAAGTATTTCATATTTTTGGACGCTATTGTGAAATGCTATTGCCTTTGATGCTATTGTGGTTTCTCTAATTTCTCTCTTAGTGAGTTTATTATTTGTGTACAGGAATGCAGTTGATGTTTTGAGTGTTGAGTTTGTATGCAGCTATACTACTGATTTTGGTTATTCAATCTAGAAGTCTTTTGGTGGAGTTCTGGGGGGGGTCTTCAATGTGTAGAGTATTATGTCATCCGCAAATAATGGTAATTTAACTGCTTCCTGTCCTATCTTTATTCTTTTTTTTTTTTTCCTTTCTCTTGTTTAATTGCTCTGGCTAATGTTTCTACAACTATATTGAATGGGAGTGGTCACAGTGGACATCCTTGTCATGTACCTCATTTTAGAGCAAAAGCTTTTGGTTTTTGTCCATTTAATATGATGTCGGGTGTTGGTATGTCATAAATGACTTTTATCAGGTTGAGATAAAGACCATCTATTCCAGTTTTCTGAAATTGATTTTTCTGTGTCTATGAGGTGATCATTGATTTTTGTCATTGGCTCTGTTCATTTGTATTACATTTATTGATGTGTGTATGTTACACTATCCCTAGGATGAATCTTGCTGCTTTGTCATGGGTTATAATCTTCTGATGATTTGATGCATTCTGTTTGCCAGTACCTTGTTGAGGATTTTTGCATTTATGTTCACTAGGAAGATTGGCCTGTGGTTCTCCTTTTTTGGTTTGCTCCCTCTCTGACTTTGGTATCAGGGTAATGCTTGCTTCTAGGAATGAATTTGGGAATATTGCTTCCCTTTCAGTTTCATTAAAGAGTTTGAGAAGTAGCAGCGTTAGGTCATCTCTAAATTTCTTGTGGAATTCAGCAGTGAATCCATAAGGTCCTGGGCTTTCTTTGTGGGTAGGTTTTTAACTACATCTTTAGTTTCTTTGAGTAATATTGGATTATTTAGAATTTTTATATCTTCTTGACTCAGCTTTGGTAATTCAGATGTATCTAGGAATCTGCATTTCTTCTATGTTTCCCATCTTATTAGAATGCAGGTTCCCAAAGTAGATACTGATCTTTTGGATTTCTGCAGGTTCTATTTTAATTTCATCCTTTTTTTTCCTAATTGCATGGATTTGAGTCTTTCCTTTTTTGATAAGGTTGGCTAAGGGTTTGTCAATTTTATTTAATCTTTCAAAGAATCAACTCTTTGATTCATTGATTCATTGTATTTTTTCGTAGTGTCTGTTGCATTAATTTCTGCTCTGATCTTTATAACTTCCTCCTTTGTATAAGCTTTGGGCTTGACTTGCTCTTTTCTAGAAGCTTGAGCTTAAACATTAGGTTGTTGATTTGAGTTTGCTCTGTTCTGATTTGGGAATTCACTACTATAAATTTCCCCTGTAGGACTGCTTTCATTGCTTCCCATAAGTTGTGGTATGTTGTATTGGCATTATCATTTAATTGTTGAAACTATAATGTTATCTCTGACCCATTGGATGTTCAGGAGGGAATTATTTAATTTCCATGTATTTATGAAGTTCTTATGGTTTCTTTTTCCATTGATTTCCAGTTTTATTGCACTATAGTTTGATAATATGCATGGGATAATTTCATTTCCTTTGCATTTACTTAAGAATGGTCTGTGAGCTAGTATATGGTCTATTTTGTGTGTCCCATGTATAGCTGAGAAGAATGTGTGTTCTGAGGTGGTGGGGCGGAACACTCTTAGACATCTGTTAAGTCCATTTGTTCAAAAGTTTCAGCAACAAGAGAAGAATAACTAAGACAATGCCTCACCTATCTGTATGTCAAATTCTTTTTCCCTGCTTGGGAAGTTTTCTGCCATTACTTCTGTAAACAGGTGTTTTTATGTTGTCTGGGCTATCTTTTGCTTTTTTGTTGACTCTGATCAATCTTATGTCATTTTTCTTTGCATCATCTAGCAGCTGCTAGATGGTCCCTTGCTATTTTTAAGAAATTGTTTCATGGTAAGTATCTGTAATCTGGTCTTTTAGATTTGATATTCTGTTCTCACATTGGCTCATTCTATTGTGTATTGTTTCAATGGAACTTTTACTCTCCTGTGTATCTATTTGAATCTGTTTCATGGATTCCTTTCTTTCTTATGTTAAACAATCGTGGTTCCATCATTTTCTGAATCTCTATTTTTTTTTAAAATCTGTATCTGCTCTGGAGTCACTAATCATGTCTTTCTTGTCATTACCTGAGAAATTGTTTCTGACTTGATTTTTTTTCTAGACACTTTCATGTGCTTTGTTCCTTCTGCTGTTGCCACTTCAGAGCATCCAGGTGGGTGGCTTTTGAATTGTTCCTTCCACCTTTTTGCCCCGTTTTTGCCTTTGGTGAGCTGGAAGTCTGGATTGCATCTTGCTTAAGTGTCTTCTCATTTTCTTTTTTTTTGTTAAGTTTACTATGTGGATCGATGCTTATAAATTGTTCCTGGCAAGTTGCTTTATTGCTAGTCCTTAAAATTCTTATGAAACGACTGCTTTTCAGAGATGTCTTATAGTGTAGCTTGCTTTTGGGTTTTGAATCTGTTGCAAGATGCTGCCTCTTCAGTTTATTGGGGATAAGTTGTTTCCTGTTTGGCCTACCTCCTAGTTCCTTGTCACTGGTATTTTTGATGACTCTTAAGTCATGGGACTATGAGGAAGAGTTGATTAGAATAATTATGTCACATTGGCTAAAGTGGTATAATCAGTAATAACAATAGCATCAAATACAACCAAGAAAATGACAAACTGTGGTAACTGTTAATTTGGCACCTGTAACTGTATGAACTGGATTTGTGGTTATATAAGAAAATCTAAAGCAAATCAGAAAATTGTATATAGTAAGTATGCCCTTAGTATGGCGATTTTATCCTCAGGGAAGCATATGTAAAAGGAGTTAGGGGGGAAAATAGGGAGATGGAAGAAAAGGAAGGGATTAGAAGCGAAGATGGGAGGATAAAGGAAGATGATACAAACTGGAAAACTGGTGAAGACGACAAGAGGGAAAGCAAAGGAAGAAATAAAAACAAGAACACAACAAAATAAGAACAAGAAAAACGCTAGAAACAGTGTTCACACTCAAATAAAACAAGAGCAAACAAGAAAAAGAAAACAGAAGGAAAAAAGAAGAAAATAAGCAAGAAAAAATTTCCCCTTCAAGGCTGTCTCTGCTGTCACTAGTAGACACAGTGGGCTGCCAGAGTCCAGATTCATGCTGATTAATCCTGACAGGCCAGCTGTAGCTTTACGGAAGGGTAGTGGATATTTTCAGCAAACCTGTACCTTCAGGTCCACCAAAGTTCAGGCTGGCTTCTGGCTGTGAAGCTGGAACTGGATTTGTTCAGCCTGCAGTAGTCCATGTGCCTCTTGCCAGCTTAAACTCAGCTTCTTGCTGACTTGAACTTCGTTCTGCCTCACCCTGACACTGGGATT